ATCGGTAAGGACTGGGCTGAAGGGTATGATGGTCCACAAAACATGCACAAGACTGGTGATTCAACTAGCAGAAGCTCACCTATGCTCGACAAGTTTGACAAGTTTGTGAATTTGGTCAGTCGACGCCAAAGGAAGAATACGTTGTAGTTGGCTGGTGTCGATGGCTGCAATCGAAGATACGGTAACGCAGGGCTAAGCACAGCAGAGAGAAGTTTCCAAAATGCTGAATGGATATTAAAAAATACTACAGCATTTAGCACAGCTCGAACGCATGGGATTTACTCGGAATCGAGCCCTGCCATGATCATACCATTAGAGCCTTCCAGTTGACTGGTAGATCTTTGCATGATAGAGGATATTGTAATTTAGTGAAGCACGACTACGAATGCTATAGAGGATCCGCTTGGTGTCAAGACTCGGTATCCCTCAATCAAGCATGGACAACAAATTCTTTAGTATGTGATAATCGTAATATTCATGGTAACTCGCCACCTTGATCCCCACCTTTCACCGACCAGCCCATATTCCCATCCCCGCCCCCACCCCGCGACCAGAGCTCTCATTGACAGGCCTCTTAGCCACCTTCCCCTGCGCTTTGACCCCGTCGACCACCCGCTCCAACCCAGTCTCCACCACCACCCCACCCACAATCATCTCCGCCAGCACCGCATGCAGCGTCTCAAAGTTGAAGATCAGATCCAGCTCGCACACGTTCTCGAACAGCCGGTCCAAGGCTTCGACGAAGACTTGGATGAGATCCAGCAGGGCCAAGGGTGACTCGGTGGAGGTGCTGATTACGATGAAGAATAACGTGGCGTAGTGTCGATACGTCACGAGGGAAGGGGTGTCGTTTTGTTGCTGCGCGGGGTCGGAGGCGGTGCTGGCTGGGGCGAGGAGAGGCGGGAGGGGAAGGAAGTTGCAGGCTGAAGCTGGGCGGGCTGAGACGAGCGTGAAGATCTCGGATATCAGGCGTTGTTGGACGGATGTGTCCTGCGCTGGAAGTTAGTGGGGAGTAGTAGTGATAGTTGAGAGGGGCCGCGGACGAGTTGTGTGTAGAATTTGGTCAGCCTGGGCTGACCGTTGTTGTTGAAGACAAGGACTGCGTTGATCATAGTGGGAGGTGGTTTTTCTGGTGTTCTTTCAATTCATGTACAAAGTTTGTCGTGATAAGATGGTCGATATTGTTTTTAAGATGCTTGACGGTGGTAGTGGCAAGCTGTTGCACCAGACTTCGTCACTGTTGGACCAGAGCAACCGTGCCGGCGAACATGATTACGAATTGTATGAGTATGTGCGATAGTCGATTATCCTTTGACTCGCAGTACGCCAGACCAGAGCCAGATACTTTCTATAATTATTGCAGTTCCTACCGTTTCTAAGATCAACGCATGTCGTCCAGGAACGGCCATAATCCATGACGCTGATTGGCCAATTTTGACGCATTCAGGCCAACGGTTGACGTCGTCCTCGGCGGAAAAGAACCTGAAGCTCCTCCACAGCACCGCTCGAGCTCCGCAACCTGTCTGCTACCGAAGCTTCCTCAGTCCTTCTTCCTCCAACAACACTCAACCCTCAATCGACCCTCTGGTTCCAATTCCACTTCTCAACATACAAAGCTCAAAATGTCGGTCCGCCTCCTCTCCCGCCGCGCAAGCTTCATGCTTCGCAGACACATTGCTGCCCGCCCCGCCTCACATTTTCGCCCCGCAGCAGCAGTAGCAGCAACGCAATCCACTCAAAGCAGATCTATTTCCTCGTCATCCTCACGACGAAGCTTGATGCCAGATGCCGAGAACCCGGCACCCAAAGAGTCGGAACCAAACCACAAGCAACAGGAGCCGACGCCATTGGAGGACGACGCTTACCACACGCTGGCCGACGGGTATCTTGAGCGGGTGGTGGCGCGCATGGAGGAGATACAGGAGGGCAGAGAGGATGTGGATGTTGAGTTTGCTGTGCGTTAATTACGCCTTTTCATGGCGATAACGACACCAATCGCTGACCATGCATGACAGTCTGGAGTGCTCTCAATCACGTTCCCGCCGCATGGCACGTATGTCCTCAACAAGCAGCCCCCGAATAGGCAGATCTGGCTTTCAAGCCCGGTCACTGGGCCGAAGAGGTATGATTGGGTCGTCGCGGGCGAGAGCATGCAAGGCAAGGAGGGATCGGGGGTGGGGGACTGGGTGTATCTGCGCGATGGGAGCAGTCTGACAGAGCTGTTGAGGAAGGAGCTGGGTATCAGCATCGTGGTGGTCGAAGATGTTTAGATGGTTAAAACCATACGAGCGGTATGCAAGGCTTCTCAAGCGAGGTGTCACAAGAAGGTGGGAAGGTGCGGAAGTATATAATTCGTATCGTTGGCAAGTGCCGATGGGATAATGCACCACTCAATTACGTAAATGTCTGCTCAGATGATCATACTCGATGGTTTCTGTCCAGCCTCTCCTACCCTATGTCCAGCTGGGGTCTACATCTGCTCACCAGACCCGAAGCTACCATTCCCTTTCCACGTCCTTTGAGCACCTTCAACGGTGGTCCATACAGTAAACCATGCTGCATTTAGATGCCGTGTCGACAATGCCAACACGGAGGTCTGATACCTACGGTGCAGAACGTTCAATCTTGTCGGCATCCATACCGGCCTTTGTAGGTATATTGCCCGGTTGATTATATCCGCTAGGATGCATGATCCACTGTGTGGAAGGATGTCCGCCACATGACTGCAGCCCCTTATCTGAGCTCCATGGGTCCGAAGTTCTCCGTGTGTCCTTATGGCACGACTTGGGCGATTTCCCGCCACCAGTTGCTCGAACAGGATGCGCTCATAGTGTGAGGACTAGCGACAGAGGTGCTGCCATACAATGGTAGCGCAGCGCTGCTGTCGGGGAATCGCCGGTTGTCGGCTTCTTTGTTTATTGCCAATGCTCGCTCCTCTCTGTCCCAAGCTCAGCCCACCGTCACACCGTCCGCCGCCGTTGTCTCCAGCCCTCCAGTTGGCAGATCGCCTTCGTCGAAAATCACCCGGATCATCAGGCTGCAGCTTGGGCAGACGGCGATCTCTTCGCCATCTTGCAAATCTCCCAGCGAAATTTCGAAGCGATCGCCACACGGGCAAGGATAGTGGTAGAGTTGCAGAGTGTCGTCGTAGGTCATGTCCTGCTGCAGTCAGTACGGAGAAAAGCAAGTGCTCAACCCAGAGAGATATACCTCGATCTCGATCTCGTCATAGATGTTCTCTGCCATCTCTGCTGCCGACGATATTGCGCGCCTTAGTTTGAAGATTCGATGTTGCCGCAAATCGAAGAATGTGTCAGAAATTAAAAAGTTTGGCCTCCGCGAGTCTGGGGCGCAAGCGGGTTTGCCCCGCGGCCGCCGGATCGGGCCCAAGGGTCCCTGTGGCTAAGGAGACCAGCGGATGCGGACCACGCCGCCTCTAAGGCCGAAATGGCAGCTGATTGCATGCACCGCGCCGTATACCGCAGAGCTGAAGCACATGCTTGTGAGCCTGTACGACAACAACGTAATCTTGCTATCAAGCCAGATCGAGCTAATAAGATTCGGCTGATTGCCCACCTCCACAGAAAGGTAGGTACACCATGCCGTTCCTAAATTCGCCCAACGTGAACATGCCACAAGGAAAGCTTACATTGCCGGTCCTGTCCGGCGTTCCCGATGACGACCCTTGGGAGAGGCCATATCTCAAGGCGCCGAAAATGGAGGCCAAAGAAGAAGTCTCTTTCCCCATGGTCGATATCCGCACGGAGTTATTCGGTGACCAACGAGATGACAACATCGAGAGACAAATCAAGTTCTTGCAAACCCATGGCTTCACGGCAATCAGGCATCAGACGCAGCTACGAGACGTAGCTGATTTTGATAATGTTGAGAAACTCGACGACATATATTTCCCGGAGGTCCAAGATCTGGTGAAACGCGTGACCGGCGCAAAGCATGTCTTCATCACGAACAGCATGATCAGAAAGAGTGCGTCCCCCAGCGATAACCACGCGAAACCCCCGGCTCAACCTGCACCACTCGTAGCATCACGTACGGGAGTAGCTCTTATGTCAAATCGCATTCCGCCTGCTCGTGTGGCACACCTGGACTATACTCCGCTCGGAGCACGCCAGGTCATTCGCTCGTGGCGAAAGGACATCAACGAGAAAGCTGTCGAGAAGGGAATCATTGCTGCCGAGGATGCCCTTTGCGCGAACCACGGTGTAGACGCAGCGTGTGAAGGCAGCGATCATATCATCGCAGAAGGCTACAATACACCTTCCAGCGATGCTACGAGATACGCAGCTTTTAGTGTATGGCGACCACTGGCTACGGTCCAGCGCGACCCGCTCGCTATGTTGCCCGCCCGGGATTTCGAGCGGCATACCAGTGCTGGAGATTCCCCATTTGTCTGCTCGACTTACGACATCAAGGTGCCTGGTGATAAAGCACTAGGTGGCGATTTTCTCAGGCAGCTTGGTATGCTCAAGGTGAAGCGTGTTGATAAAGCACAGATCGAGAAGGCTAGTGAGGACCTGAAATGGTACTACATTGATCGTCAGACGGCAGACGAAATCATGATTGTCAAGTTCTTTGATAGTTTAGCCTTGGGCAAGGATGCGGTCGAGGCGCAGGCACCTATCCATGGCAGTCCAGATGTTGAAGGCTCAGAGGGTGGGGAGGCTAGACAAAGTATTGAGGTTCGCTGCGTGGGAATCTGGTGAGGCCATGAAATTCAGGACAAGGTAGACGGAGATCAATGCATAATCAATGCCGGGCCAAGAAATTAGATATCATTTGGCTGTACAGTATCCGTAGACACCTTAAGCGATGGTATGGTCGTCGAGACAGGTAAAACAGCGCTGTGAGAAAGTGCGAAGAAGGTGGAGATCGCACCTCGCAATAAAAGGAAAACATTCGGTTAGCACAGCGAAAGATTGGATTTTCTCTTTTTTTTCATGAACAAAAAAGTGATAGACGCGACACATGTGATAGTCATCTCCCTCCTCCCAGAATCGAACTGGGGGCCTTCCGGTGAGCCAGTGAAGTGGCATATTCTTCAAATTACAGCCGGACGCTCTAGCCAACTGAGCTAAGCAGGGTTGAGAGATATTCGTGTTATACTACGTATATAATTTCGAATTGAACTGCTGAAACTCGCCTCTATGGTGCATTCGATTCACGAATGAGACAAAAAATGGATTTAGGCCAATTTGATTTTGCCATTTCGTCTAGAGAAAGCAGGCGCTGCGCATGAGAGGATTCACTCGCTTCGCCGTGGGTGGCCTGGGCGCTTAAGTGCATGTTCCACTCCGTTTCAGTGGTTTGGCCCGTCCCTGGCCTCTCTTTGAGCTACACCACCTAAGCACTTGGGTTCCATGTTTCGTGCATCCACCAGTAGTGCACGGATGAGATACAGCCGAAAAATCACAATCCTTCATTGAATAGCCATTCCCACTTCTAATGTACTAGTTTTCTATCAAATTCATAGTGCATCTATCTTGTGTAGTACACTGTTGCGAACGTTGTGATGCACAGCCAGATGCCTCGGGATTCACGTGATGAGTGTTGAAAAGGAAACGGATACTCTCTTGTCAAGCGAAAGATTATTATTCTATGACGAAATTCGTGAGTTTAACATGTAGGGAAGCAGCCACGATTGTATCAAATACTAATATGAACAGCGGCATGGCAGAAGTATTTTCGTATATTGGCGCTTCTTTGCCTGAACTGACCATTCGTCAGGGACAACGAATTTCTCCTCTCCGGATACCGGTTGGTTCGGTCTAAATCGGCACACCTTCGTATCACTGACGAGCGCAACCAGTACTACATCATATGTGTGGGCAAAGTCCATAGGTAGCGTATTCGAATGGCACAATGAGACGAGTAAGACTGTATAGTTATCTCCTTTCCAAGGCGCTGTTGGCTGATGCTAGTTTAAACTAGTCAACATGCATTCCCATCTCATCGGGTCTGTAGTGTTTGCTCTTCTTCCCATTCATTTCTATTTCACACTGTACCGGCACATCGAGGTCGCCCAAGCTATCGATGCTGTCCTATTTATCGTGTACTTTTTCGGTGTTTCAATCTGCTTCGCATGCTCAGCAACGTAAACTTCTGCGCCCACTAATCTGTACTTAAAGTCCATCGATTGACACTGCCACAGATGTCACGTCGTCTGGAATCACAGCCCTTATGCGGCCAGGTTTGGCAATCGACTAGACTACTGCGGCATCGTTCTGCTGATGTGGAGTGCTAGCCTCGCATCTATACATTTTGCCTTTATCTGCGATCCCTGGCTTCGTAGTCTGCACTGGCTCTTCGTAAGCGCTGGAAGCCAGTACTAAAGCAGGCCATTGACGTTCCCAGGTCTCTGCAAGTGGACTAGGATGTGTGTTTTTCACTCTACATCCCAAGTTCAGCAACCCGGCTTTTCGCGAGCTCAGAACAACAATGTACGCCAGCCTTGGTCTGTTCGCGGCAACTTTTATTCTCCATAGCATATATCTGTATGGCTATGCGGAACAGAGGAAAAGACTGTCCCTGGGCTGGATGCTCCTAATGGCTGTGAGCAATCTTGTGGGTGCTGCATTCTATGCGCTTCGTGTAAGGACTCTCGACATACCGCTAATTTGGAACTGACATTTCTAGTGGCCGGAGATTAGACATCCCTACAAATTCGACCTTGTCGGTGCAAGCCACCAGCTGTTTCACGGCTTCATCTTTCTTGCTGGACTTATCCATTACAAGGGGCTGGCGGTCGCTTTCGTTGAGGTGCGAGGAACCGCTCACACGTGCTAGAAGAAGGACATGCTTCAGTGTGGAATGGCAGTTGAACATAACATGATATGACATACACTCAAGAACTACAGTTTTACTGAAGGTCCAGCACCACTCTGCCGATCAGCTTCTGACTGTCCATCTCCTCGAAGACATTCGTCAGCTTATCCATAGTCTCGGTGCGGAAATGCGTCTTGATGATGCCTCGCTCCGCCATCTCCAGCGTCTCTATTGCCTCTTTACGGTTGCCCACAGCCACACCTACGATCTTAAGTTCCTTCGCCACCAACACCTGGGGAAATGCAGTCGCAATAGGCTTCAGCTCACCCTCGGGCAGACCGACACAGACTAGTGTGCCGCCGAAGCGGAGAAGATCAGTAGCCCTGATCCTTGTCAGTATCTCCATACAGCCTGCACCCACGACTTGACAACTTGACTTACATAGCATAAGCTCCGTTAGCAGCAGTAAGCACCAGCACTGCATGAGCACCCATCCCACCCGTCAACGCCTTGACATCCTCAGCAACGCTCTTACTCGCGGTATGGTCAATGAAATGCTCCGCGCCCGATTCCATAACAATATCCTTCTTGCTCCCCTGATCAACACCAATGACTCTCAATCCCATGCCCCTCGACGCGATCTGAACCGCCAAATGTCCCAGTCCACCGCCAGCACCGAGCAGCACCACAAACTCCCCAGAGCGTGTATTACTCTTCCTCAACGCCGAATACACCGTCACACCAGCACACAACATCGGCGCTGCCATCGCACTATCCAGCTTCTCTGGGATAGGCGTGACATAATTCGCGGCGCTAACAACATACTGCTGAAACGTGCCGGGCGTGTAGTAACCGCTAACCTTCTGGTTGAAGCACACGCCGTCGTGGCCTGCGAGACATGCGGCGCAGGATCCGCAGATGGCTGCTACCCATTTGATGCCCACACGTTGGCCTTTCTTTACGCTGGCGGTGTCTTCGGTGCCGGGCCCGAATTTGACAATCGTGCCGATGCCTTCGTGGCCTCCTACTTGGCCTTCTTGGGTGGGGTAGGGGAGGGCTTTCCAGCTGTTGGTCATGATGCCCATGTCGGAGTGGCAGACGCCAGAGTGGGTCCTGAGGTGCTGTTAGCTATCAGAACGCTGGAGACTGTGTGAGGATGCATACAAGCGGATCAGCACCTCGCCGGGACCTGGCTCGGGCATGTCCAGCTCGACAATCTTTGTTGACAAGCTGCCAGGTTTGTCGTACACGGCCGCCTTGTACTTGGCTGGGAGGGTGTCTGCGGCTGCCATGATGTCTGCTTAATACGATTTACAGAGACAATGGGGTGGTGGATGTGTTCAAGAGTGCGTAGAAGGTAGCAGCATGAAGGCAGAAGAAGCGGGGGCCTTATGGGGACACGACTGCTCGGATACGTGGACCTACGTTGCAAGCCTCGGCCAATTTTGTCGGCGATCTCAGCGTCTGTCATAAAAAGTTATGCCTGGATAAGGGCGATTGGGCAGTTGGAGATCGAGAGCGGGGTTGCGGAGGTTTGTGCCCGATGCGGGGTAGAAATGCGGAGGAGGGGCGACTCAATGCCGTTTCCGATTGCCAGCTACTACATGACGTTCCTTTCTGCAAGTCAGCGAGCCATGCGCGCAGTCTTTCCAGGAATTGTCCGAGTATCTAGCGAATTGCTTAAGATGCGGTGTACTGTACAAGCGGAAATACCTCTGCGAGTAATGAGTGCGAAAAGTGATAGATGCATTCTCATTCTGGTTATCAAGTTTAACTACCAAGTGACGTTAAAGAGCGCCGTCACTTTGCGTATCCGTATTCTGTCCAGAGGAACCTCGATTCATAGAATTCAGCTTACTTTGCTTCAACATATGGCGTCTGCAAGGTTGTGGTCAGTAACGATGAGTGGGTGGTCCTTCCATGTCAATCCGAACTCACCTCATATGGTCGTTCCGCTTGCGGCGTCAGTCTAGCGAGATGCCTCCTTTGGCCATCCTGCCAATCCAGAATAGCAGTGTGGACCGTCAAACGGTTGTCCCAGACGACCACAGTGCCTGGAGCCCACTTGACTCTGGCTTGCAAATCCTGGCTGTAAGCAAGGTGATCGTACAAGAACTTGAGCAGATAGTCACTCTCTTCTTGCTTGAAGCCTTCGATGTACCTCACGAATTGCTGATTAACGAAGAGGGCTTTTTCGCCGGTGACTGGATGGGTACGGACGATCGGGTGAGCCGTCGCGATGGGTTCTCTCCGGACGATCGATTCGCGAGCACGTGCGGCGGCAGCTTGTTCGTGACCGGAGTGGACGGCTTTCAAGCCATGCAGACGTTTCTGAAATTCTGGAGAAAGACGATTGTAAGCCTCGGCCGTGTTGACGAATGAAGTATCGCCACCAGCAGTAGGACCATCAAGAATGTAAAGGAAGGTGGTGCCAGGAGGTTGTTTCTCGAACGTAACATCACTGTGCCATGTGGTACTATTAGTTCGTGTTTTGAAGTAGTCGACCACGGTAGTGTCGGCGGCCGAGCGATGGACAAGATGAACGCCGGGGAATCCCTTTGGGGCTCCGGATGCCTGATGGACGTGGCTGGGGCCGTAGTATTCGGCAAAATCCAAGGCCTCTTGGATAGGTAGGTCGGCGAAATCTTGGTCGCGGAAGGCTGATTGCAGTCAGTCTAACGAAGACATCGATGACCAGAAAAGCGGAATACTTACCGACAACCTTTTTCTTTGCGACAAAAGCAGCGAGCTCGTCCTTTCCAGCCTTGTCAAGCTTGCTGAGTTGGACGCCCTTGACTTCTGCACCGATGTTGGCACAAAGGTCAACAACGGTAGCACCTTTCAGCAGGCTCGAGAATGAAGGATCGGCGTCTTTTCCGTGTTCGTAATGCTCGAATACCTCTAAAGGAGGGTATGTGGTCGTTTCCCAGACGGGCAAGTAGTGAGGATACTTGGCTGGGGCATGACCACGTGTACCCTGCAATTCGCCTTCATAGTTGGTAGTCGCAGCACTCTGAGCGAAGGCCTCTTTGTGGGTATGTCCTTTGTTCAGCCCCTTCTTCTGCCACTCTACTTCCGCAGGGGCCGGGTTCTCGACAAGTGCGGGAGCCATTGTGTGTGTAGGGGATATGGAAGAAAGATCACCAGCTCGAGATAAAGGATATGGAAGTGAAGGAGGCAAGAACAAGTGGGGTAAATGTAACACGAAATAGTTATAAATGTCTACCTTGAGTCTATATGTCAACCTTAACGTCCCAGAGTACCCGGTTACAAAGCATCAGCCCGACAACCCCCGCAGGCCATTGCGATGTCGGTATCG